TTCCCCGTGAAAAAACTTTTAACCCGGGAATTATTAAACTTTAATATATAAAGGTTTTTAATTGAAAATTTATAAAGTTAGGATTTAGAGGCCGATCAGGGGGCGTCGGTTTTGTATTGATATTCGTCGAACGGGCCCGGGAATTTTATTTAGTAAATATATACTGTTTGATCTAATAATTACAGTTAAACTTGAATTTCAGAGTGAGCTAGTTCAAACAACATTGTTTAACTTCCCTTTGTGGCTTGTTTATTGAATAATTGTTACGGGAATTATTATATTGGCGCTTTCGACATTGCGTTTATGTCGTGACCGGGATTTTTACAATTTTTTACAGAATAAATTGGTATTATTTTGCGCATTAAAAGAGGAAGAGGGTTTGATTGGTAGGATATTTTGAACGACGGGGGCAGCGAGGTTGATGTTCCGCCCGTCAGGAATCGGAGTTGGGGCGGCTGTTCTACGGATTCGATCCAAGAACACCGCCCCCGGACCGGACGGGGTTCCAGCCCGAGTGATGGCCCGAGCCCTCGACTACATGTCGGACCACCTCAGGGGGGTGTTGGACGCTAGCCTGGCGTCCGGACGCTTCCATGAGCGCTGGAAATGCGGAAGCGGGTCCTGCTGCAGAAGCCGGGACGGCCTGCCGAATCGGTCCGGCCTATAGGCCTATCGTGATCTGGACGAGGGGGGAAAACTTTTTGAGAGGGTGCTCTCTGCCCGCATCGTCCGGCACCTTTGCGAGGTTGGCCCCGATCTCTCGATCCCGATCACTCGGACCTGATCCGCCGCCGGCGAACCGGGCGGCGGAGGCGCGCTTACCTGCGCCTCATGCCGCCCTGAGTGTGGCCCGGGTGGACGGGATGGGTTTTCTCCCCTCCACCCGCTTTAAAGTTGGCCCAGCCGCGAGGGGGCGGCGTCGCCGACTAGGGGTGAGGACCTCCGGGCACGTACACAGGCCGCACGGAGGTCCGCCAACTCCTGGACCACCATAGACCTCCTTCCTTGGAGGCCGACAACCACGAACGCGGGGCATGGCCGCATCGAAAATCTGCGTAATCGCATTGCAGAAGCGACCAGCCCCCATGTCGACCTCCTCGGTCGGGGCCTGCGGAGACACCCAAAGGGTAAATAATGGCCGCCTCCTCTAGTAGGTCCCTGTCGAGCTTGGCGATAGCCCACCGCGGAAGGGGGAAGGGCCCGCGCCGCGTGACCCTACTGGGGTCCTGGGACCTTGAGAGCTCGAATCGGATTAAAAATGATCCGAGAGCGTCTCGACCTCTTCCAGGACACACCAGTTCCTTACTCGTGCGGCGACTGCAGGGGTACGAACGAAAGGTCCACTATCGACCCCCCCTGCTGTCGCACGCACGGGTTGGTGGAGCCCCTGTTCAGCAAACAGAGGGCCACCGACGCCGCCCACTCCTCGACGGCTTCGCCCCTGGCGTCCGTCGCAGGGGAACCCCACGAAATGGACTTTGCGTTGAAGTCCCCCAGCCGAGGACGTCCCAGACACTTCGCCGCATCGAGGCCTCCAAGTTTGTTAAGGAAGACCTCGAAGTCGTTCAAGCCCCGGGTTGGGGGGAAAAATATACCCCATAATGGTGATTCCCCCCCAATCGGCGGCAACATATCCAGTACCCTTGTCTCTTAGCGCAAGGGCAGGGAATGAGCCGCCGTGAGCCGACGACTGCCACGGAGCCGCCCCGGGTCACCCATCCATTTTGGACGGGGAGGGACAAAATAGGGCTCCGCGACTACGGCAACACCTATCAAACCACTGTGCCATGGTTTGCAGGAAGAGATCCTGCGCCGCAGCACAGTGGTTCAGATTCGTCTGGAACCAGAGGTTGGAGACTTGATCCATTACTGGATCGTCTCTACAACCTCCTCCATGGGCGTCGGCGTCGACGCAATATTGACGTCGGGGGTAGCCTGGGTCGGCAGGCTAACCCCGGCGTTTTGCCGAGAAGCGCGGGGAGGGTTGCAGCCCCCCTGCCCCATCATGTGATTGGCGGGCTTTTTTACCGCCGCACACACGGGGCAGTGAGGGGCGGCAGAGCACTCTGCCGCCTTGTGCCCGGGTTGACCGCAGCGGAAGCATAAAACCCCTGCAGTCAAAGCAACTCTCGCACTTGGTGCGAGTGTGTCCCGCGGCTAGGCACTTGAAGCACCTCATCGGCCTCGCGGCCAGAACCGTGATTCTGGCATTCACGAAACCGACGACATGCTTCCGGCGTCGCCCAACGCTTTGGCCGCCGCCACGGGACAACTCACCCACACCGCACCGAGGCCTCCCGGACCCGGACGGACGGTGCCGACTCTGATGGTGTCCGCGGTGCACCCAGTCTTCTCCATGACTGCATCGCGGACATCCTCCGACGTTATGGAGTCGTCCAGCCCGAGATGCGCAGTTCCGCTCATTTGGTGGGCCTGGCGATCTTAACACCGTCCGTGGCGGCGAAAATTTCCCCGCAACTTCTCGGTGAATTTGTCGGCCGTCGGGGCGCCTTTCGCCCCAGGGGAAATCGAAAACAAGAGCTTTCCCCTCTGGGCGCGGCGCAGCCTCATCCCCGCCTCCCCGAACTCAGTGGCGATACCGGGCCGGGGCCCCCCTTTAAGAGGGCCGCATACGTGAGCCCGCCACTGGCCGCTTCCGGCGACAGCGTCACTACTACAGCCGCGGTTTTGGGCGGCTGCAGCTTCCGCGGCCCCTTTTTTGAGGCCGTTGCCACCGGAGGCGAAGGCTGGGCTTAGGCTGCTTTCTGAGCAGCCCTTCTAGCCCGCCTTCGGGGCTTCTTTGAGCCCCTCGCCTCCTGCCAACCCTCGTTGGAGGGGGCAGGTGCGGAGGGGCCCGCAGGGATGTCGGAGCGGGGGGGGCGGAGGAAAGCCACTCCGCTCCTCTTCGCCGCTTTACTCTTGGCCGGCACCTGGCCGGCGCCTTGCCGCTGCCTGGCCGGCGCCTTGACTGGCGCCTGGGCCGGTGCCTTGGCCGCTCTTCTCGGCCCCTGGGGAGCTGGTGGTGGAGTCGGGGCCGACGCCGACGCCACCGCCGCGTATGACACGCGGCCTCTCATAACAGGGAGCGCAGTCGGAGGGAGCAGCCTTAGCCGCTGCGACGACGCGAGCGGGGGGCGCACGACCGGGCAGGAGGCAGTCTCGCCTCCAACCGGCCAGACGGCCGTCCAGCATACGCCCAACTGCGTCAAGAATTGACCGCAGTTGGGCGTCAGGCACCCCTGAGGTCGCGGTAAGGGACAGGCTGGGGCGTGGACGGGGCCCCCCGCCCCGGGGAGGTTCGCCCGGAAGCGGGCGAACTGAGCGCTCAGCCCGTTCACTTGCTCCGTCCAGCCTGTCCCTTGGCCATCTGTAGCGAGACACGTCGCCTACTAGGCCCTCCACGACCTCCGACATGGCGGAGGAGGAGTCCTTAAGGGCCCTCACAAAAGAGCCCTTAAGGTTAACCGACTTGGTGGCTACCTTCTGATGATAGCCACCGCCGCTCTCGCCCCTCCTGCATAGACACGGAGCCCGGGGGGCATCTCCCTCCACCGGCTCCCGAATCTTTAGCAGAGATCCGCGATCTCCTCCTCCGCTGCGGCCTCGCCGTCCGCTCGTACCCCGTCTGTAGGAATCCGCCTTGGAGAAGGCGGGGCCTGACGGGACGGGGACAGGGTACGCGACCTCCCTATACCCCTTCATTCTCCCTTACGGGGCCCCGCACACGGCACAAAAATGCGGGTGGTTTGCTCCCCCCCCTCACTCTCAGTCTCTGTTTATAGTGAGGCCGCAAGCACCAACCACTTATGGAATAGGATGGATTGTTGGAATAGGAGACAAAATAGGAAAGGATAGGTTTTTATGGGATCCCGGACCTGCTGGGGTTTCTCCCCATTTGGGGGGGGTGGAGTACCCCGACGTGGCGCGTCCCCGGGGTTTGCGGATGGGGGGCCCGGGGCCCCCAAATAGGGGGGGTTCCCGGGCATTGGCCCCGGACCAAACTAAAGGGGGTCGCTCCTCCCCCGTCGACGCAGTCGACAGGCAGGACCGACCACCCGTTTCGGGGGCAGGGCATCTGGGGGGGGTTCTTTTGTCTCCTCATTATTGAGGAGCAAACCTCTTGGGGGGCCCCCTGATTGGGGGCGGGCCCGGACGGGCGGACGGACATGCTTCAATCCCCCCTTTGGGGGGGGCTTGGCTTAACACCCCGGGCCCCCAAAAGGGACCCTCAAAGATAAAAAACCCCCAAACCCCAATTTTCCGGGAGCGGGGGCGGGGGAGGGAAGGGGCCTTTGGGGGGGACGGTCGTTAGGGGGGGGGCCCCAACCTGCGGGTACCTTCCGCCCCCACAGTATGTGGTTACCCGGGGTACTTAAGCTCTCCCCGGGGGTTTGGGCCCTTTTTTTGGCTTTATACTCTGGGAACAAAATTTTGGAGAAAATTAATTCAAATTTAAAAAAAAAACAAATGACGTAGGGTAAAAAGTCCCTCGGGGGACTATTGAGCAAAATGGCGTGCCTTCGGTTTCCCCGGATGGGCGCGTCCGCTTTTATAAAGTGGGGGCGAGCGGGGGTGACGAAAACTAAAAACGCTTGCAAACCCCCGAGAAAGAGTGCAGATTCGGGGTCGACTGGGGGCCGCTGGGGCGACACAGCGGTCCCGGCCCCCAAGGGTGGGGGCCCAAAAAAAGGGGGGAGGGTAGGCCCGCTACTCCCGGGGGAAATATGCCGGTTGGGCCTTCCAGGCGTGACTGCGGCTGAAATGAAGGCCGCAGCGGGCGCCGAAAAATTAGGGGAGGACGAGGGGAAATTTTGGGGCCTCAAACAAAAGGGGTGACGGAAGGGGAGTCACTCCCCTGTGGGAGTCGATGACATCTGCCTTTCTCTGATATGGGATCGAGGCAAAAGCCCTACCTCCCCTCCAATCAAAATGAAAAGGGGCCGACGCGGTTGCAGCCATAAAAGGGGTAAGAAAATTTCTCAAAAGGGACTTAGCGGTTTGCAGCCGAAACCCTTTTAAGGAGGCCCGGCCCCCAAATTCGGGAAAATTGCTCATTTGTTTTTTGACCCGCCCACCCCAGAAGAACGGCGTTTGCGGGCGGGCCCAAACAAAAAGGGCTCGCGGGCGCAAATGGGCGGAGCTCCGCAAGGAGCAGAGGACCCCAAAGGCGGAGAGGGCCCAAAATTTCCCCCGGGGCGCGAGCACCTCAGGCGGGGAGGGGGGCCCTTTCCCCACACGCCGCGCCCAAAACGAAATTGAGTTGCCGTCACGGGCCGTTGGAGCACGGGCGCCACAGGGGAGGGGTTTGGGGCTCCCCTTTATCCGTCGGGGAGATGGCAGTTTAAAAGGGGCGCGCTTCTGGGTGCTTGAGGGGAGGATTCTACCCCCCCCCCCAAAGCTGAAACCCAACGCAGCAAAACCCGGCGCCGCAAAAGGGCCCCAAAGCCGCAGCCCCCCCGTTCCCCCCCCCAACCGGCACAAGCAGCTGTTTCCCACAAAAAAAGAGTTTTCAACTCCCCGCCTCGAAAAAGGGAAAAGGGGGGCCCTAAATCAAATGGGCATTTAAAAAAAAGAGGCTAAACTGGCCAAAAGGCAGGTCAGGGGCCTGTTTCCGCCACAAAAACTGCAAAGACCATAACGGGCGAACCCCCCACAAAACCTGATTCGGATGGGGGGGGGGACCCCGCCAAAAAATAAAAAAAGGCCCCGCCAGCGGCCCAAAAAAGGGCCCAAAGGAAGAACGCGAGGCTTAGAACCCCTCGCTCTAAAGGGCTTTGGTTCCCCACCCCTACAGCCGGGGGCGAGGGGGCGGGGCCTCACATATCCCGGGGATCCTGGAAAAGGGCAAAATCTGAGATTTCGCTGAGTGATCTCGGTATAACTGGCCCCCGGGGGGAAAAACCAACGGGCTACCGGCGGCCCGCCTACTGGAGTATCGGGAACTACTATTGGTCCCAAAGCAGACGCCCCCCGCCGAAGAACTCAGGGCGTCCCCTGGGGCCCGGACGATGTAAGAGGGGTCCACCCAACCCAAGTGGGGCAGATCGGGCGCATTTCAGGCCTGGACATTCCTCACACGGGAAGAGGTCCCCCGCTGCCATCCCCCAGGGACGGGGGGATGCCCGCCGGTCAAGTAAAAGGCGGGCACGTTTACCCCGGGGGTTGCCCGGGCCCTCGGGACATTCTTGTAAAGCTGTCCCGTGGGGCCCCCAAAAATTTAACAAAAGAAAAACGGCTTTTTTTAGTCGGAGGGGCCCCTCGGCCCCCGGGTCGCGCTCCTACCCCCAAGCCCTATGGTTCCCACCTGTTTGAAGGGGGGACTTGGGGGGGCACGGTGAAACCGCAGGGTAAAACCGCACCCAAAAATTTTTCTTCCGCTGTGGTAAAAACCCGGGCCCAAAAAGGCTGGCACTTGCACTGCCAGGGCCCGCATTTGTTCATCTTTTGGGTGGGCATCGGGCAACCAGCCCCCACCCAGAACCGGGTAAAAAGGCCTGCCCCGGGCCCAAAAGAAAAAAGAAAAAAATGTCAGGGGGGATATGAAAAAGGGGAAAGAAACCAGCTCCTCGCACCCCGTTCACCCCCCCTTTTGCGGCAAAAAAAAAACCATCCGCCGGGGGGTTTGGGGGGGACAGCGGACCGAACAGGGACCACAGTTTAATTTCCCTCCGCGTCTCCCCCAAAGCCAAAAAAAACCACTGGGGCCGGGGTTTTCGGATCTCTTGCTTCAGAGCATGGCGCAGTGGTCGAACGATTTTTGGGGGTTTGTGGGCCGACCCTTTATTTTGCCACCCAGGGTTTACTGGGTGTGCCCCAACGAATTTTTGCTCGGTGGAAACGATTTTTGGGGGCCCGGGCCCGCAGCCCCCCTTCCCCTTTTCGAGGCCGTCCCCCAGGGCGGGGCTATGTCGGGGCAATTTGGGGAAATGTTTTTGCCCGGGGGGGTTTAATTTCGCCCCCGGGCCTTTCCCCTGGGCCAAACCTGGAGGATTCACCCGGGGAAATTTTGGGGCGGGGTCGTCAGTCGTAGCCGTCCCGTCCCAGGGCCCTTTCCGGGGGGGATTTTCAAATGAAAATTTAAAGGCCTTGGGTTCCCCGGCTACGGAGGGCGCGGGGCGATTTTAGTGGGGGAGTGGGGGGGTCCGAGCAGGGCCTGCTTTTTTTCCTGAACCGGGTTTTTCCCGGGTGCAGACTTTCTGCGGCAGCGGGGGGGGCCCTATATGGACCTGTCTTTTCGCTAGCCCCGCTCTCGCGAGAAACTGCCCCCGGACTGGAAACGTCCTGGAGGGGGGGGAAAGGCGCTGTCCGATCATCGATTTTTTCCCGTTTAGTGCCCTCTCCCGACCTGGGTTTGGGGCCCGGCCCCAAGGGGCCCCGGTGGGCTTTTGGAGAGGGCCCGCTTTGGGGGGCACAAAAAGGGCGGCTGAAAGGGAGGCTCTCCCTGGAGGCCTCTTTTCGTCAAGGCCTGGCGGGGACGTCCCGGGCCCGGGCCAAACCCAACCTCGACGAGGAGACGGAGGGGTTTTTCCGGGAGAGCCATGTCGCCCCATCGGGCGACCCTGGCATCCCCCGGGGAAAGGCCCCCGGGGCCGTTACCACCCCAGGCCCCCCGTGTACTTTGGTCGCAGTCGTTTGGGGCGCAGTTGCGCACCCGCTTTGGGGCGGGTGCGACCCGGTACAAGGGCCGAAGAAAAAGACGCCGCCGCCCCCTTTTCAGCGGCGGCCGAACAGGAAAGGGGGAACCCATACAAACCCCTATAGAGAGGCGAAGAGGCCCCCCTCCACTTGGGGAATTGTCCGGGGAAAAGGCCCAGGCCAACCCAAGAGTTTTTCTGGAGATCTGGACCGGGGGGCCGTGGGGACCCCCTACCTTATGGGAAAGGGGAAGTTGCGCCAATGGGCTCCCCCCCTGTCCCGGAGTCCCCCAGCCACACTGCTTTTAGGGGGTGGTGTTGGGGCTTGTTTCCGTCGAAACGGAGCACCACCACCACCATGGTTTTCCCCCTCCCCAAAGGGGGCCCGACGCGGGGGGGCACATTGACGACGACGTGCCCGAAGTTACCCCGGGGCCCAGTTGAGAGTGGCGGGTGGGCTCGCATCAAGAAAAACCGCCCCCCGGTCCCACGGCATTCCGGGGCCCTGCATGGGTCCTGGCCTTGAAGGCTCTTTGGGGCCCCGGGCTTGTGGACTCTTAAACGCATGTTTTTGGGGCGGGGCCAGTTTTTTCCCAAACCGGGGGAAGGAAACCGGAAAACTGGTCCGGGTCAAAAAGGGGGGGGCGCCCCGCAGAAACCCCCTCTGCGTACCCGGCCAATCGTGGGGGTTTCTGGACAGGTGTGTAAATCTTTGAGCGGAAAACCCTCGCCAGTCCCTCCCTCCGGGACATCCGGGGGGGGGCCCCGGGTTTGGCCGGGCAACCAATTTTTTTCCGCCAGGGGCGCTCCACGGGGGACGCGATCATACGCTTTAGGGTCCTCACGGGGGGGCAGTGCCCCCGGGGTGAGGGGGTCTTGGCGGGGGTCGCTCGACATCCCAACGCTTTCAACACCTTGCCCTGGAGTGCCATCCGAGAGGGACTCCGGTTTCCACGGGGGGGCCGCGCTACCTCCAACGCATTGGTCGGGGCCTATTTTTTCCCGGGGAGATCGGGGTGTACCCGGGTCCCGGGAAAAGGGTGGGGCGGCGAGAGAAAGTCCCTGCGGGGTTTTCCCCGGGTTCGGTGTTGGGCCCGCTCCTGGGGGGACGTAGGGTACGACTGGGCTCTTTCGCGGTGCGCTTCTCCACGGGGTCGGCGTCATTTGTTAAAGTGACGATAAACTAGTTTTCAGCGCGTTGGGAAATCCCTACCCGGGAACGGGCCCTAAAGCCCCGACTGCTGGGGGGGTCGCGCACGTCGTGGGTGGGGTCCCGGCGGCTGGGCTTAGAGGTGGCATTGCAAAAATTCCCGAGGCCCTTTGTTTTCATGGGGCCCAGGATTAAGCCCCCGCCTCCGGGTCCAGGGATATAGTAGGAGGGGTTTTTCCAAACGCGGGCGGGGCTAAATGAGGGACTTGGACTCGTCCTCACATCGGTGGAAAATTCGGGCCGCACTTTACCCCGGCTCGCCCCCCCCATTTTTTGGGGGCCCCCCTTTTGCGCTCCTCGCGCTTCTTTCCCCCAAACCCGGGGGGCCCAACTTCCCCCCTGCCGGAAAGGGTCTACACGGGGGTCGTACGGTCGATTTGGGGGCTTAAAAAACGGCGCCCCTGTTTTGGGCCCGGGCGCCCTGACGGGGCCCCCAAAAGTCGCCGCGCTGCGAAGGCCGCAGCACGCGATGGGCCCTCAGGGTCATAAGGGGATAAACCCTAAGATCTCCTTTGAGGCAGCGAAACCTCCTAGCCCGGGTCCCCGCCTGGGGCCCGATGCAAGGCTCCTCGCGTCGCTCTATTGGTGGGGCGGGGGGAGGCGGCCGGCGGGGCGAGCACCTGGTGCCTCGACAAGGGTTTAGGGACCAGGGCGGGGCTCCGCCAGGTCCTTTGGCGGAGTGGCAGACGCGCTTAGCCAACCCACGGCGGGGCACGCCGCTATACGGGTAAGGGGCCCCTTTTTAAGGATTTGGTCAATAGGAAACCACGGCGCCCTCCCGCTTCCGGGTGACGCAGGGGCTTACCGGACCCGGGTGTTTCGGGAAATCCCGTGTCGCATAGGCCGGGGGCCAAAGTCCCCCGTGCCCCCCATTGTGGTGTTGCCGCCACATACGGTTCTACATACGTTGGCCCGGGGGGCCCAGCTTGGGCCCCAGCAGCGCCCTGGGTTTGGGCGCGGCCGTAGGGGCTGGGGGAAGACCTATCGCTTCCGGCTGTTGTGTCTGCCATGGTCGGGGGGGAGTCAAATTAAAAATGCCGCCGCCACCTTCCCGCAGGGCCCTGATGCTCGCGAAAAGGGGCGGGGAAAGGGAGAGAGAGGGCCCGCCCCCCTCTCTACCCTCCCCCAGCAACGTAACTGAGGGGTCGTAGGGGGGGCCGGGCTACCGGCCCCGTAGGGGGGCGGGCCCGCGGCGGCAAACCCCGGGGGCGTCCCTTTTCGTCCGACCCCGCGGCAGGGCCCAGAGGGGGCGGCCCTCCCTGGTTTTCCCGCGCGCCTCTAGTAAATCCCCGCGGCCCGGGGGGACGGCCGCAGGGGGGTTACGGGGCCCGCCCGCCATCTTTGGCCCGGGGCCCAAAAACCCCCCCCGGGGGGTACACCCAAAAGCTTCGGCATACCCGCCCCTCCGCCCAACCCGGGGACATGAGGAACACGGGTTGGTTTTTTGTCCCGTAAAAGTCTGACAGTCCCCCCTTTGCCCTTCCCGGGGGGCGGGGGGGACTCCCTGAGGGTCTTTCCCCAAACCCCATACCCAAAAAAAAAAAAAAAGGGTTTTTTTTGGGGTAGAATTGCGTCTTTGTGTTTTATGGGTTTTATCTGTTTTTGTAGGGAATCTTAACCTTTTTAATGTCCCTAGTATGTCATAGTTGGGAGAACCCGACTTGCCATGGGGAAAACTACACGACCTTTCGCTCTCCCCCATGCCATTTTCCGTGCACGGGC